AAAAAAAAAAAAGTTTAGTGAAAACCGTAGGCATGTGGGGTTTTGGGGGAAATATAGTTTCAGTGTCGAACATGGAAGAACTGTTCTTTTTTCTCTCAAGGACTTTTCTTCCTGGTACGGACAAGGGAGTTGAGAATCTTAGAGTAATAAAAAGCAGAACTTGGGACCTAAAAATAAGGAAAGTTCTAAACAATCCCAAAGGATACATCTTTCTTAATTAAATGGTAGCGACAATTTTTTTCTAAGAGGAAAAAACTGGGTAAGAATTTAACTTTCAAAACAATCAAAAAGGCATCCAAGCAAATATGTTCACTAAATGAGGGCTGGGGCTGGTTGTCCCCAAGATACTCATTGGCACTGATTTTTGAATCTGTTTTGATTAAGCACTACCTTGGGAAGGCCGTTATCAAATGAGCTCCAGAATATTTGAAAAAAAAAAAAAATAAGTCAGACTTTAAAATTGAAAAAGGGTACTCGGATCATGGAAATATCTGTATAATGGATCTGAAACTATATGAAGAATTTGTGTCACTAACTAGCCTCATTGAAGAACTATGTCAAGATTAGGATTTTATTTTTTTCCAACTCTCAGCCCATTGCTGAGAGTTGTCAATCCCATATTTTAACAGTGAGGGGATGGATCACTTTTTATCCAGCCTACAAACTACTGTGGTGAGTGAGGATTCTCTAGAAAAGGGGCTATCAAGCCAATGGCACAAGGGACTGGGGTCTAGCTCCTTCTGAGCTCAAGAGGGAAGACCTCATGTCTAATTATAATGTTTGCACTGGGGAGTAGGGTGTGGCAATCTCAGGCCTAGATTAAGTTAAGACAGGGAGATTAATCTGCAGCATTAAGATCAACACTAACAAGACAGAGGACAAGGGCATGAATACCTCAGAGGATGTACTGATAGTTCCTGTCTAGGAATCCTAACTCTGTATGCTGTCCTAAAACTTTTATTTCAATATGGGACAGAAGTCGTGAGGGCGGAGAGCACAGGTCTAGTCATGTCTTTGAAGGGAAGTGACCACTATAGATAGCTTGGAGTAGCTCTTCAATAAATTATTCCTTCAAAAGGTGGAAGGGACGATTTTCATTCTCAAGTCCCTCAAATACAACAGGAGAAAACTCAGACCACAGATAAGTGGCCCTTGCAGGGTAAAGGCATTTCTAGAAACAAAGATTGAGGCTGCTCCTTTGTAGTTTGAGGCTTAAAGCCCAGATGCAGTGAGGCACCACTTCTGATTTTTTTTTTTTTTAAATGTTGAGGGTAATAAGGTGTAAATTATGAAAATGTTGAGAGATGGCATGTAGGAGGAGTCACGTGTTTCATGCATTTACTGCTTTCACACATCTGCAGCCAGTCTTTTATCAGAAAAGATAGGGGGACTCATAAGGATACTTATTATACAGCATAAATTAAAAGTCAGTGGGATATGATAATAATAACGTTATGAATTTATTTTAAAGAAAAATACTGCAAAACCCCAGGAGTAAAGAAGACATGCTCACATTCTCAGACCAACTCCAGTTTGAGACCATGTGATCTGACTCAAAAACTCTATCTAAGTAAAAAAAGACTCACTATGAAAAAAATATATCTGGCAAGACAATCTTTTATTTTATCTATAAATAAAAACATAAAATCAGAATATTCTCATAGAATTTTAAAATTGCCCAAAATATAGCCACAGACTTTCAGGCACTGTCTATAGCTCCAGGTTTGAAAAATACTTCTTGGGCCCAACTCAGATATAAAAAATAGCCTTCTGGGGCCTGGTTCACAAAATTTGTATTATAAATTTCTTTTTTGATAAAGTAGCCATTCCATTCCAGTCCCTACTGAATGCCTAGCCCAGGGTAGGTACTTAATATAAATGTATCAAATGAATGAATGAATGAATCCACACGAATGCATTTTACTCTAAGACTCCACAGGTTCTGCATGTGGGGATACACAAATGACTGCGATCTAATTATTTTGGACTGTGTAGAGGACCCATCTTCATATCCCTACCCCTTACTTAAGGAAGGTTTTCAGAAAAAGTTTTCTTCTGCTGCTCCTTCCTTGTCTTTGACCTGGGAAGACAACGGTCAAACCAACAGTTCAAACCAATCGGCAGCCGCTTGTAGGTAGCAGGTGTGCAGCACTCAGTGGAAAGTAAGTAGGTTGCTAACACATAGCACAGAGACCTCGTATCCTTTGTGAATAGATACAAGATATGAACTAGGGACACCTTACAGAAAGATTTGTTACTATCTTAGAGTGAAGGTAGCTTATAATGAAATTATAACCTCTAACCCCATTTTTTTGAGAAAAATGGAACCGGGAACACAATCTATAAACAAACAAATATTTATAACTTAATACACACAATTCTCGATTTTAGATAAAAAATTAAGAAACCCAGAGGAAGGCTAGGTTTTCCCTATGGATATATACCAGTTTGTGAGACAGTGGCCAGCACTGCTCATGGATGACCTCAGAGCTTATCATCACCAGCAGATCCTTTTCTCTGGCAATAAAGATGTTTTCCAGGGGAATTGTGCCCATGTCAAATCATCGCCAGCTAATTTTTCAGTGTTTCTGCGAACTTGTGCCACAGTTATAGTCAAGTTCATCAGAGTTGAAGGGAAAACCTTAGAAATCTACAAATATAGCCAGTTAGTTTAAAAATTAGTTTCTAGAAAGTGAACTACATTCTTCTTCTCCAAGGCCTGTCCCTTTGATGATTAAAATCAAACAATACCAGAAACCAACCCTTAGCATTTGTTAACCATAATACCCAAATGAAAAGCTTAATTTCCTAGTCTGAATCCTAACTCCAGAGATGGAAGAATGCTTTGATATGGGACTTGGAAATAGTCATATTGCTAATTTTCCTCATATTCTAATATTAGCTGAGCTGCTCATGGGCCTGAGAGAAAGGGCTGTGTGTATTTTACAACCCCCTGAAATGCATATTCAGCAGTGCTTGAAAATTTGCCTGTTTTATGCAAACTATATTGCTCTTCATATACACAATGTACAATTATTTAAAAGGAGGGATGGAAGGAAGGGAGAAAAAGATAGTAGTAGTCAAGAACTCAAATCTATTAATTGTAACTTTCCTGCAACCAATAAAACAGGACCTTCAAATTACGTTTTTCTGTGTGTGTTTTTAAATGCTGTAGCTATGTAGCTACAAAGGGGGAGTGGGAAGGGGAGGGGAACGTGGAAGGAGACAAGACACTCACCTAGTTCGGGTGCTTTGCTTAGCACAAATGCATAAGCCCAGAATTTGGTGATAGGTCCATTGTAAAAACTCTGGTCACAAACTGACTGCTTCAGGCCTTTGGTCATCAAAATGTACACCATATAAGCACCAGTTCGAAGAGCACCAAATATACTTCACAATGAAAAGAGAAAAGAAACAACATTTAGGAAAATAATTTTGCTTCTGACATTAACCATACTTAGAAGACTCTGCCATTGGCAGTGAATCGGCACAGATGAATCAGAATAATTTGCATTTACCCAGAAGCATCTTAAAATGTTCTGTGAACAAGAATAAACATAATACCACTTATTCTTCCTCAGTGTTCCCAAAAGAGGTCATGGGAAAGGAATGAATCCAAGGCAAGACCTCATGAAGAACTCTGGTGGTGTCTGTGTTTCAGCTTGAGAACTATACTTTGAGAATAAGACAGAGTTGGCTGAAAATTCTGGGAATTATCTCAGTTGTGTCCTATGTCCAATCATTCTCCATGTCCCCCGGCTCTATTTCTGGAATATCTCTGTTTATTTGTTTCAGCCAACTCCTCCTCAGGCCTCCATGGCCTCTCCTAGGCGTCCTACAGAAGCCTCTAAACAATTGTCTTTGGTTATGCCTTTCTACTTTAATCCATCTTTCTTACAGAAGCCAGAAGCAGCTTCTTTCAAGGCTTAGCTTTACTGTCATTTCGTCCAGGAAGTCCATCCAGGCTCACTGTTTTGAGCTCCTCCAAACCATGTGCTAACACTGCTTAAGTACTGTTCTTCAATGCCTGGTCACGTGTCTGCCACCAGATAGGCGCAGGTACTCAAGGATGGCTGAAAGGGTGAAAGATCGTTGAGAAATAAACTGACATGAAATTATTACCAAGGAACTGACAAGGAAGGTGGAGAGCTCTGGAATGTGTTGAGCTCACTGATGTAACCTCAAGTGTGACAGGACTTGGCAACTGTAATGAGTGGCCTTCACCGTGAAGTAAATTCCTTAGGCGTATGTGTTTGCCCACTTTTTTTTCTGGCAGCATGTCCTCGTAGGTTTTAGAAATCACTTAAGAGATACACTAGTGAACAACTATCGAAATGATGAGCAGCCTCACCAAATTAGGAAATAGGAGCTTTTGTTTCTCTTCAGAGGCACCATCTTTTAGTTAAAATGTCTTAGAGCTGTTCCAGAACAAGTCATTTTACTAGGCTACCCTGTCCATAAACATGCATCCACCACTAGAACTAAAAGTAAACTTTGCATAGAACCAAGGTAATGAAGTTGATTTCCTAGCAACTGTCTATTAAGTTGGGGCTTTGTTAAGTAGCTTCTCTAATGACATATATCTTACATTAAATGAAGTTACTCTTTCCAACATGCTTAATGACCCTGCATAGGATTATGGGTGTCACTGCATAGTTGTCGATCTTATTTAATCCTGCAGTGGCTTCCTACTGCACTTCAAGGCTTTAATTTTTAATGGTCCCTCTCTCCAGCAGCTCTGCCCCTACCTCCTACGGTTCTTTTCCTGCTCCCTGTGAGCCAATCATTTCAGCACTGTCACATCTGATCAGTTTTCTGTCTCAGGATCTCTGCATATATTTCCTCCTCTCAGGGAGTGTTCCTCCCGTGTTGACTCCAAGGCTGTCTCCTTCTCCCTTCCTTATCTTAAAGAAATGTCTCCTCCTGATAGAATGGCCGAAGTCTTTTCAGTCAACAATCTGTCATAATTTGGGAATAGGGAGTTGAATCATTGGCGAAATCAGGTAATGGAGATTTTTCTGTCTTATCTGAATTTATTTTTTATGTTTTATATTTACCTCACCAGATAATGGCTAAATTTTAACATGAAACCACCAGATTAAGGTTATGAGCATTTAGGGCACTTTAATTCCCCACTGTGGAAGGTAGCATGGAAGTGTGAACGTGGCATCTCCACCAAGCATATATAGCTGGCATGGTTGGCTGCCTGCTCAAGAGCCAAAGTCTCTTCCTCCTTCTCCATATTAAAAGAATTCTGATTTAGTTCTGGTTCTCCCAACACCTTCCCAAGGAAGGTCAACTCATCTTCAATTTAGGAGTAAATCTTAATCGCCTAATCAAATTTTAGTAATCCCATTTCCCTTACAGTGATTTGTGATGGTAGACACTGACCCAAGACTTCTTGTTGAGATAAAGCTTCCTTACAGTATAAGCCATTTAGAGTTCTATTTCTTATTATTTGCAGCCCAAAGTGAGACACAAGGCACAAGATTTGATATTCAATAGACTTTTGAACACTAGTTAACATTTGAACACTAGACACTAGACAACATTTTGTGGCTATTGAATGCATCTAGTTGTAGAAATGGCTGGTGATAGTACATCTACTTAGTATATCACTTACCTGCTTTTCAGAGACCAGTGGGAGATATGTCAATGACTTTTATACACAGAAAAAGAAACACACAAATGACACACGTTCAATATGTATCAGTGTCCTCTCATTAGCCCCAGATCAATGATTTTTCTGAACCATCAGTACAGTTTACAGAGCATGCCTCTCCCTGTTCACTGCAGCCCACCATACCCAGGAAGCAGAGCCCTTCCCTCTACTACGTTTTGCTGCTAAGCCGCATGTTTCACACACGATCAGAGTAAATCCAAGAAAAGTACTTTTGGAATAGTTACTATTTTTTCATCTTCTTCAGTCACAAAAATCATTGTTCTTTAGCTATACCCAATTTCTTAAGTATTGGCACAGTTTAACTTATTCTTTCAATTGTTAGAGATTTATTGGCACTGTCCTAGATGCTCAGGTGACAAGAATCAATAAGCCAACTCTGCTGTTGGTGGTAGTGGTAGTCCTGGAAGACTTCAGAGGAAGTGCCATTTAAGTTAGGGACAAATAGGTATTCAACTGTGAGGGTTAGGGTGTGAGGAGGTCTTTCTGAGCATCGTAGACTAGGTATCGTGGTGACTCACAATATTGCTGTCAATAAGAATATAGCACATATCATTGTCCCATATCTGGACATAAGCTTCACTCCCTCAATTCTGAACAATAAAGCTGACTCAGAACAGAAGATAGTGTATTTCTCAGGGAAACTGTCAGTGCCAGCCATTGACCCTATGTGTCTTCTTTGGGCAAAGGCGCATTGTTGGGATGTGACAATGCTACTGCTGGGAAAAGCCATCGGTGAGCTGCATGGCCAATGGAATAATTGTTATTTGTGGGAAGTCAGTAGCTCTGTCCCTTGCACATCTCAGCCACTGCACACTTTGGAACCTTGTGGCTTTTTATTATAACTGAGTGCAGGGCCCTTAGACTGTGATGCCTTACCAAAATGTACTTTAAGGGCTGGGGGTGGGGTGGGGCAGGGTGACTTGTTTTTCCTCCTTAAGTTATATCATCTTGAGAGACACTGTGATGCAAGAGACAAATATGCAGCTTACGTCCTGCTACCCTCCGTCCGTCCTTATACTCATGGCAATACTCATGGCTAATCAATCCTGACACTCTTTTTGGCCATGCCTGGATACAGCATTGAAGTTCTTGACCACTTTAAGCCACTACCAATAAAATAGAGCTGCAAATGCCAATCACGGTGTGCTCGCTTACCAGTTTCATAAATGGGCAAATTACTTAACCTCTCTTAGTCTTTCTTCACCTCAAATGATAATCATATCTAACTTGCAAATTACTTCTATAAATTTTGCAAGACAATATTATGTAAGTATTTAATTGGCATAGAGCCTCCAATATATAGGTGCTGAATATAAGTTATTAATATTTTATTACTATTTGTTGTCATTACTATTGCTTCTTTACTTGGTCTATCCTTCAGTGCTGATAGTCACTTTACCTTTCTCATCTCCTTGTGTCAGGCAGGAGAGGTAAAAGCTAATCAACCCTACTTAAAAGCCTAGGAAACTGATACACAGAGAATTTGATTTCACTGAAGATTATTCATGTCATTAAGTGTTTTATTGTTAAATGTTTTATTTCATGAGCCAGTTTTTCACAAAATAAGTGACAGCTACCAAAAGTTCATAATAGGATATGAAATGAGTATTTTCCATAGAACGTCTTGAAGGAGAGACTGTATAAAAAAGATCTGGTTCATATGAAATTTATCTTTCAGTCAGATGATAAAGATTATTCTAATTCTAGGGGCTCAAAGAGGCTGAGTCTGGGCCATTATATTTAATGAGGGCAGATGACTACTCTATCACATGCATTTTGTCAGTTGTAAGGTCACACCAGCATCCTTCTTTTTTGAAAAAAATGTGTCATTTTTCTTGTCAAAGCCTAGTTTCGATGGTAACAGTTAATGGAATAGGAGAGAGCTCAGTAAAGGGAACAGTGCACGTCTCTGCCTGCCTTCAGCTACGTTAGGCACCACGCAGCAAGACGGTCTGGAGTAAACCAAGGCCTTGAGTAGCCGAGCTGCTTCTTCTCAAATTAATGTTCTGGATTTCTGGTCTAGATGAAGACTGTTTTTTCATCATTAGCTATTTGCCATGCCATGTATGTACTCAAAGAGGTGCCAACAATGCACACTGAACTGTTAGTTGTGATATTCTGGGGATGGGGGAGGGAAACTTCTAGTTTGTACTATATACATTTCTGCACTGTTTGACTATTGTAAAGTAAGTATGTATTAGATTGACAATTCAAAAAATATGTATTTTAATAGGTGACTAGCTACAGTTGATAGATAATAAACAATCACAACAACGCCTGCATGCAAGGCTTTACCACACTGGTACTGGGACGGGTGGAAGAGACGGAGCCATTTATTAAATCAACACTTATGTCATCAATATCCACCAAGTGTCAGATATCATAGAACTCATTGGGGCAGGGAAAGAATCTCTACAGTTGACTGCAGAAGACAATAAACATGTAAATAAGCAAATGTAAATATATAATATAAATAAATTCAAATTCTGACACATATGATTCATGGTGGTGACAGATTACTGGGAGAACATTTGTGTGTTTAAGGCTGGGAGTCTCCTTTCAACACACCATGTGCTACACAGATGTTGGGAGACCTAGAGTAAAAGTCTGCAAAAGAGTCTACGGCCATGCCACCCTGAACAAGCCCGATCCCGTCTGATCTCGGAAGCTAAGCAGGGTTGGGCCTGGTTAGTACTTGGATGGGAGA